CTATACTACACATTAACAGACAGACAGACAGACAGACAGACAGACAGACAGACAGACAGACAGACAGACAGACAGACAGACAGACAGACAGACACAAAATAGGGACAGCAACGATGCAGGATCTACCAGTGGTGTCCTCCAACCACCTACTACAAAGAGAGAACACTAGAACAGATCCACAATAATTAACTTATAATGCGCTAGTTCCCCATTTCTCAGAATTTTAATAACCTTCATTCAAAGAATCTTACTGCAACTCAGTAGGCTAAATAATACAATCAATAGTAAGAGCATGGGATCGGGGAAAGGGGGGGGGAGGGATTTACCTGAAAAGTAAAACACATTAATAGGGTTGTTAAGAAGAACAAAAAATGCAATAAACGTAATAGGAAAAAATTGGACCAAAAACCCAAATTGCTAACAATTATTGACTTTTTGACCAACTGGTCGCAAAAAATAGGGGGTAAAAACCTGCCACAGAATTGGGTAAAGACTGTTGAACAGATGTTATCAAAGATGTAAAGAAAACACTTGAGAATAAATTGAATATATTATGATATATCTATTAATATATTATTATTTATACCAAAGAGAAGAAACAAAGAAACGCAAATAAAATCTTCTTTCAAACATTACAGAAAGTATCAATATTACATGTAGCCAATTTTTTTTTAATCCCCCAAAGTCATTCCAAACTGTTTTCAGAGAATAATATAAATAAGCATTATTTCTTTCAAATAAATTCTTTCCCTTGTAATGTATTAAACTGTCCCCGTCGTTTTATGCAAGAAAAATTCTGAAATTATGCAAACTGAGCCCAAAAATGTGAAATTATGCGATTCTGTTAATTTTAACAAAGAATGATTAAGGAAAATAATCAGAAATTAGGCAAAAAATGATCAAATTTTGCTAAATTATGCAGGGTGCATAAACCACGGGGACAGATTAAAAATAAAGGGAGAATAATATTTCTACATCAAGAGTCTATTTTCTTTCCCCTGTAATATATTAAAAATAAAGGGAGAATAATATTTCTACATCCACAGTCTATTTTCAGGCCCAAAAACATGCAGTAAATAACTGAGCTGTTTCTAGACATTTCATCAAGGTTGACAATCTCAAGTAGTCGCTATGGCGAGTCAGCAAGCGCACAACAATGACCACATTTCATCCAGAGGAAGTTACGATAAAAAAAAAACCCCACAAAAAAAACATTGCAAAGAAGTAGAAGAAGTAGGTCACATCGAAACGACCACCATATCATTGCCTGCTACCTCGTGGTCAAAATATGACGTTCAGGACGGTGGTTTAAAAGTTTTTTTAAAAAAGAAGAGAAAATGAAAACTTGGGACAGTTGAAGAAACCCAAAAAAATGTGACCGACTCATGCGGAAAAACAAAATGACAACACTGAAAAGGAAACACCGATTGATATTCAACACTGAAACACTGACTACGCTCGCTACCATTCACACTACATAAATGGAGAGTAATGCAAGTTTGACATGCTCATTAAAACAATAGTTTTCCTCACGATTGGGTAATCGTGAATGACTTATAAGCCCCCATCATGCAACACGATTCATACCATTTAGGAGTCAGGCGGCTCTGATCGTGCCTGTCAAAGCCAACACAGGCTGAGTGGGATTTAGTACAGCATCTTTCTCCTCTTAACCCTATCCGTACATCGTGTTTTACTATCGTATCCATACGATGTGGGGAACTCTATGCCACCACTTTCCAAAGAGGAAATTTACTCGTTAATCCGATCCATACGCTTTGCATAGCAAACTGTCAAAATGACTTTTTGAGAAATACTGAAAGTTTCAAAGAGATCTTCGTACTAGAAGTATTCTAAAATGTGAAGAATACAACCCTGCGGGTACAAAATTACCCCAGGGCGTACGGATAGGGTTAACCTCCAACAGGATTGGATATCATCACACTGATTTCAGTTTTTCACATCTCAACGAACCCACCACCACGCCTCCATAATCAAACCAACAGCACAATCCCCCCCCTCATGTTCCAACACCCCATCTCATGTTCAAACCGCCCACCCCTCCCTACACGTCGTCATCCTACCTTGGCGTCCATTTTGGCGCTCTCCTCGCAGATATTGGAGATGACCTGGTTCACCTCCTCCGACATCTCCCGCATGAACCAGAGCGCGTACTGGTAGCTGGTCTTGCCCACAGACACTCGCTGTCAGCAGCACACGGAGAAAGGGTTAGGGGGGAGACTACCGGTGCTGTCATACTCTTATTGTCTCCCTTCCCTCTTCTCCCCACAAATACTCGCCTCCCCTCCCCTCCCTCCTTCCCCTCCTCTCCCCTCTTTCCCTCCCCTCACCACAGACACTCCCTGTCAGCAGCACACGGAGAGAGCATTAGAGGGGGACTACCAGTGCAATCATACTCTTGTCGCCTCCCCTCCCTCCTCATCTCCTCTTCTTCCTCCCTCTCCTCCACTCCTCCCAAACACTGTCAGCACATACAGGGGGATCATTAGTGACCAGTTGCTGAAAGGAATGCAACGTCCCAGCAGACAGACGGCCATACTTGACATACAACCTCTCTACACCGGAGTCAAACCCACATCTTCTATGCGCAACGGCGAAGCACCTAACTGCCACACCACAGATGCTGCTATCCATCTTATTCATATGCCACACCACAGATGCTGCTATCCATCTTATTCATATGCCACACCACAGATGCTGCTATCCATCTTATTCATATGCCACACCACAGATGCTGCTATCCATCTTATTCATAGGAGCACACAACTTTTACAGAAAAATCTGACTTACTGCCTCTTTCATACAATGTATTTCATTTCTAAGAGCCAACAATTTTTACCTAAAAAGCTGTTCAAACCTCTGTAGACACAACGTGCAGTAGACTGAGAAGTCTATTCTCAGACACATAATTTATGCAAGCCAGAGCTTTTTATATAAACAGCAGTTTTAAAACTGTAAAACAGATCTAAATGCCTCAGTTTTTTAAATGTAAAAAGTGGTTCTCTAAGCAATAACAGTAGGCACAATGAAAACAGGGTGACATTCTGCCTTCTGTATTTTCTTAACATTCGTCATCATCAGACATGGACAGACGAACTATTATTATCACTATTATTATTATAATCATTATTATGATTCTTCACAAAAGCCCCAGCTACTCCTGTAAAGAACTCAATTACATGTTGCGATATTTTTCACATCAATTCAGCTTTGTGGTTAGTGCCATTCCTTCTGAATTGAGAGGAATTACACACAGTTGTGCTACTGTTACTGCTGGATATGTAAAAATACATGAAGTCATGGCAGACATAAAGTGTTTTTTTTAACATCTAAGACATAGATATTATAATGATTAATAAGAAGGATTTGAACTGAATTATCGAGGGCGTCATGCTTTTTAGAGAGTAAAGAGTCTCGGTACAGCCGAAACATTACGTGAAATTTGAAGAAAAGGAATTAACACACACACATGCATCTTGAGAGTCGAGATAAAATGTGAAGATTTGTTCTAAATTTAAATCAAAGTAAATCCTAGGTATCTATAAAGCGCATAATTCTGTTCAACGGAAAGCTCTATGCATTTTACAATCTTATATCATTACCCCAGCAGATCCTGCCTAAAACACTCGGAAACACTCTCTTGGCTTCCCGCGAATTTAAAAACCAAAAGTCCTGGTGCATCACGGCATTCTCAAATCAAATCAAATGTCACATATTATTATGCTAATTGTAAATGTCACATATGCTAATTGTAAATGTCACATATTACGCTAATTGTAAATGTCATGCAGAGGAACCAGAAGTAGAAAGTGAACCACAGCATGCGAGGTAGGGGTGAGTAGAGAAAACAAAACAACCACAACTTGCAGCACAACCACCATCTCAGTCAGTGAGTGAGCGCACTACTGGCAAAGCAAATAAAGCCCTTCTGGGTCAACGAGTTTGCAACAAAAACAACGAAAAAAAAAAAAAAACAACCTTTGCTGAAGGGAAAAGGAAGACTCTGAATACAAATTAATATATTGTTTTTTTAATTTTTAATTTTAACATTTTTTTTTTCTTCGACTGTTCTTAATTTACCTCATTCTCTTAAGAAAAAAACAAAAAAACAAACAGAAAAACGAAAGAAAACAACAATTACATAACTGCTAAAAAGAAGTTTTAAACTTTTTTTTCTTATTATTATTATTTCAAATCCCAGGTTCTGTTTCTTTATTCCATGGATTAATGACGCTTCACAAAAGAAAGTCTTCTTGCATAAATTACTATTCAAACGATTATAAACTTTTTCAATCTTAATCAGAGTTTTACAGCACTTGCAGCGTAAAAAGGTTAAATATGTGCCAAATTAACTTTTTGCGAATTACAATAAGGAAAACCTAAGACAAGGAGAAGTCCATCAAACTGTCACAAATTTTGACACAGAAGGCAAAAAAAAAAAAAAAAAAAAAAAAGAAAAAAAGAAATAAGAACAAATTTAGAAAGCAATTGACAATAATTCTCAAGCTGTGGACAGGTATTTGTAAGCAAGCAAAGCAGTCAGAGGGGGGTGGGGCGGGGGCGAGTGGGGGAGTGGGGAGGGTCTTGGTGACTTTCATGATGAGGGCCAGGACCTGTAAAGCGGTAGGGCTGGGAATGAACATGAATGATAAGCATGAACGAACGTACGGGGAAAGGGGGGAGGGAGTGGGAGAGGGGGGAGGAAGGGTGAACTGGTGACCTACTAAGTGAAAGCTTACCTCCACACACTAGCACTCAGGTTGCAAGACATGTTCGTTTAACATTTTCCGTCTATAAATACATTCCATCAGTAAAAGCAGTCACAGATGACATTAACAAAGACGTTTATTACACCGACAACATGAAGTGAAACATCATCTTTTAAACAAACTGCATGCCGTCTTACAAATGAAAATCAACAGTTTCCAGTTCAGCTGCAAGCTATTGATCTACTATTTCACCTCATGGAAAACACTAAGAGTAACATAATATGCTACAGTGTCAAGTTTTCCTCTCACTTTTGCGAGCTTATGTACTTGAACCGATTTCACCCAATTTCCTCTTGATTTGGCTTGCGAGATATTCGGAATCGCTTAGCCCTACCCGTACAACCTCAGGGGTTGTATTCTTCACATTCTAGAATACTTCTAGTGCGAAAATCTCTTTGAAACTTTCAGTATTTCTCAAAAAATCATTTTGACAGACTGCTGTGCAAAGCGTATGAATCGGATTAACGAGTAAATTTCCTCTTTGGAAAGTGGTGGCAGAGTTCTCCACATCGTATGGATACAATAGTAAAACACGACGACGTACGGATAGGGTTATTTTGGCTCGCGACTTTGACGTATTTGCCTAAGCCTGCTATACAATAACCTTCCACCTCTTGAGAAGCCCACATTTTGTACCACTTTCTGCACAACCAGAAATGATACGCCCCTATCAACACAACTTAGATCCTTTAGGAGGCCGACTTCCGACCCTGACTGCCAGAGCCAGCCCAGACCGGGAGGGATACAATGTCCCAGAACAAAGACTGAGATACTTGTCATTAGTTTCCGTTAGCAATCCGGCTAACGACGAAACGACGTTATACCCATTTAATGTTTTCCTACGGCAATCCGATGTCAAATTTTTATCCCAAGATTAAAAATTTCTCCCCACTCGGGAATCAAACTGTAGTCTTCTGCATGGCGCAGCCGCTCTCTGACGACCAGAAGAGAAGAACCAAAAGAAGAGACAGAACAACACACAGCATTACGTCGTGCAACCAGCGGCCCAACAGGCACATACACGCAGACAACGACACACGAACATGCGACCAAAAAAAATCAAAACCATCACCATCTATGAGGCCACGTGGGGGAGAGAACAAAAGAAGAAGAAAAAGTTACACCAATGCAGACTACTGCTAGACACAGCACGTCTAAATTACACGTACGTACGTCGTACAACACGTAGCTTGAAAGTTCCCTTACACAGTGTGTCATATCAGAGGCCTACAATAGTTTTGTTGTTGGTTGTTTATAGCAAAAGGGCTACAATTTTTTATTCTTATATGACAATA